GTGAGTGGATGACTTCTTGATTACCGCTACAACTTGAAGCACAGTGCATATAGGCCCCGCAAACCTTCACATTGTATCCACTCTTAAATTTGGTGTTCTCAAAACTGAGAGAATGCTTTACGGTCTTACCTTTGCTTCAGTACTTTTGATCAGGACTTAATATAAAATATTCAATTCATAACAAAAATTTCTCCCCGTGTTCTGCATTGTCACATTATCACATTCTATTAGCCCCCTTATCTGTACCCTTCTATGTAAATGATAAATAAATGTGGTGCAGAACTTGACAGCCATAGAGATGATGCGATGACCTATCGCCTCAGCTCTTGATACCTTCCACCTTTTCAAATCGTAACATACAGATTTTACACCCTTTATAACTAAAAATTTACAATACGCAGGGAAAGAGATAACTGCGTAAATTCTACTCCAACTATCGGTGCTTAGGCCCTAAACACGTGGGGAGATTTACATAAAAATAATCACCCATACGTGAAATACAGACCAATCAAGCTTATCAACTTTTTTCTCGGTGACTTTTATCACTGTAGGTGTAATCGGTCTCTCTCTCTCTCCCTCCCTCCCTCCCTCCCTATCTCTCTCTCTCTCTCTCTCTCCCCTCTCTCTCTTTCTCTCTCTCTCCCTTTCTTTCTTTCTCTCCTCTCTCTCTCTCACTTTCTCTCTCTCTCTCTCTCTCTCCTTCCCCCCCTCTCTCTCTCTCTCTCTCTCTCTCCCCCCCCCCCTCTCTCTCTCTCTCTCCCCCCCCCATATCCCTCTCTCTCTCTCTCTCTCTCTCTCTGTCTCTCTTTCTTTCTCTCCCCTCTCCCTCTACCTCCCCCCCCTCTCTCTCTCTCTCCCTCTCTCTCTCTCTCACTCTCTCTCTCTCTCTCCCTCTCTCTCGTTTTCTCTCGTTCTCTCTCTCTCTCTCTCTCTCTCTCTTTCTCTCTCTCTCTCTCTCTCTGGTGCAGCGGTACCGATCTCGTCTAGCAATCTTGCTGACCTGCGTTCGAATCCCTCGCCACCAGTGGATGGTAACCCCGGCCATTCCTTGCACACAGGGGATAATTTAGAAGCAAAATAAAACAGACAGCATGTCACACCAAGAATATCCATTGTAACAAATGGAATCAAACTAAATTATTAAATTATTAACTATTATTATTATCTCTCTCTCTCTCGTTCTCTCTCTCTCTCTCGTCCTCTCTCTCTTGTTCTCTCTCGTTCTCTTTCGTTCTCTCTCTCTCTCTCTCTCTCTCTCTCTCTCTCTGTTCCCTCCCTCCACCACCCTCTCTCTCTCTCTGTACATAAACATACATATATACTCTCTCTCTCTCGTTCTTTCTTATACTCTCTTTCTTTCTCTCCCTCCCTCTCTCCCCCCTTCTCTCTCTCTTTTTCTATTCTCTCCCTCCACTCCCTTCCTCTCTCTCTTTCTGTATGTCTGCACACATACATACATACATACATACACACACACACACAAACACACACACAAACGCACACACTGTAAAAGGCCGCTGGGTATCTCCTTCGTGGGACTTTTGGGTACAGTGATAAATTTAAACGACTTGACTCTTTATTGATGAAAGAGTATAATGCAAGAAAATGACGCGATGCGATGAACGGGGAACGGTGCTTGAATGCGGCGTGGACGGCTAGCCCCGAGGGGTGCCAGGCGGATGGTGTTGTACACAAGATGACAGTGGGAAACGTTCTCCCAGGCCTGTTAAGGTCGACTTTAATTTTCATGTTGGCCTTCCCACAAGGGGCACTGGCGTCGGCGTCGAAACTCAGGCAGGCAGATGAACAGGCCATGTGGAGGCCGATTTAGTGTGGGATGGTATGACTGACATTTTATGGTTATATGCTAGTTAACCCACCCCATTGCTCAGCCATTTACTCTGCGCCTTACCCTCGAGGCGCCACCGCAATTGCCTCGACGTCCACACGTTCTCGAAGGTCTCGCCCAGGTCCTCCTCGACTTCGGATTCGTCCAGACTTCCTCGTAGTCCTCGTCCAGGTCTAACTCGGCGGCGTATTCGTCCAAACGTCCTCGTAGCCTTCGTCTGGATCTATGGGGGTCCTGGCAGGTGGCGCCCAACTCCGGCTTCTTGGGGCGGCTGAAACCTGACTAGATCTACGGGAAACCAGCCGGGAAGAGCCTTTCCATTGCATCCTGGGACGGCTGATACTTGCGCTGACGTGCTCCGGGTTCACTGGCTCACGGTGATCTTCCGGTGATGTCCTTCCCATAGCATCCTGTTGCAGATAGGCGACCGTATCTGCAGCAGATTTCTCCTTTGGTGCCGTGTCGGATATCCTCGGTCTACCTGCTGTATTCAGTCGGGGAGCCTGATCATACACGCAAGGGCCAAGGTTGTAAAAATAAAGGCAGCAGAGAGAGGGATGCTAAGTGTACTAGTGTACTTGTGTAAATTTGCAGTTGTTAATGAGAGCTTTAAATCTATTTTCGTATTTTCTTTCAGACTTGTGTTTATTTTCACCAAAATAAAGAGGAAAATATGGGAGGGAGGCGAAAGTAGCGGTCCGCAAGGACCTGGTTAAGCTACAAGCTGTCTCTGTTAGATATGAGAGTAGATAAGAGGAACGACAGTGGCATTCCGCGAGGATCTACTAGAACCACTTACATATGCGAAACAATGTGCATAGTGCTGTCACTCGTCCTGACTGGCAAGATCGAGGGCAAAAGAGATACATCATCGATCTTTACGCCTGCAACTACAACAACTACAAACCCTATTAATGAAAGGCTTCAGTGTCTTTTATTCTGCATGAATGAATGAGTGAATGAGTGTGAGCATGAGTAAGAATGAAAGTGAGAGCGAGCTCACACAAAGAATGAATCACAAACATGAAGATTAATGTTCTTTTTAACAATAAAGCTATAATTAGAAAATGTCATTACTACAAAATTATTTCAAATAAAACATAGTGAACACAGTGAACGGTGACATGAAAAATTCTTTACAAGCTTCTCGTAACGCAAAGCTTCCCGGCTCAGAAATGTACGACACAATCCACTATTCTATTTAATCTACTTTTCGGATTCGCTACAAAATTCTGACATTCCGAGGTTAATATGTCTAGCTTAAGCATATCAAACTACGTAAGACTTCATCGATGGGGATTCCTATGCCCAAATTACTGAACGAAATATAGTGAACAGAAATGAAAATCTGTAACCAACTCTCCTCTGCGTATCTATGGCGGGCGCTCGTGACAGTGTCCTTGCTAGTATCTATCATGAAGTCACATGATCGCTTGGGCTTTTCATCATTGAGTAATGTAACAGAGCTACGGTTTTCCCAGTGGAGTTAGCAACAGCAAACAACCCAAAAGTGAAGCCAGGGTGGGGCGAGAAGGGGAGCTATTAGCGAGAGGAGAAATAAATGATGTCCGTGATAAAGAAAAGAAAAAAACAGCAAGAAATTAAACGAATTGAAAGAGCAATAAGAGAGAGACAGAGACAATCAATCAACGAAACTCGTACAAGAAGAGAATGAAGTACGTAGAATTTTGTGAAATAACTATGTGAAATGACAAGGAGTAAATTCTCGGTTTGAGGGAAATTCACTAACGCGTTGTATTCGCTGTAGATGAAACAATGTAAATCTCTAAAAGCAAAATGAATTAAATTATTTACTTAATGAACGAAGACGGAAATACCGTCCTTTTCGAAGCAATGTGACCTCAGGGCAAAGGGAGACAAAGACAACACTTCTGTTTCCTGTCGCAGAGTTCCCGCACTTAACACTTTTACCCATCAAAACCAGTGGGAGTGACTGCGCATATATTTTATACGGCTTAACACATTTATGGGAGAAGGGAGGGATGAAAATGAAAGGGCCCATAACGTGTACTGACATAGTTTTGATGACATGATGGTCTGCGTAACGTGGAAACGTTGGTCGAGCGACAATCGGAGACGTTTGTTCGTTTTGCGATTCGAAAGGACGTAAAAAAAACACTACTGGACAGCAATGACAGTTTAGCATTTACGACTTGACTTTTTCTTGATAAAAGAGTATAACACAAATAAATGAACACACAATAAAGATGAACGGGGAACAGTGCTCGAGCGCGGCGTGGACGGCTAGCCCCCGAGGGGGGCTGGGGGTATATATATATATATATATATATATATATATATATATATATATATATATATGTATATATATACATACATACATACATATATATATATATATATATATATATATATATATATATATATATATATATATATGTATATATATACATACATACATATATATATATATATATATATATATATATATATATATATATATATATATATATATATATATATGTATATATATACATACATACATACATATATATATATATATATATATATATATATATATATATATATATATATATCGATAAATAGATAGATATGTGTGTGTGTGTGTGTGTGTGTGTGTGTGTGTGTGTGTGTGTGTGTGTGTGTATATATATATATATATATATATATGTGTGTGTGTGTGTGTGTGTGTGTGTGTGTGTGTGTATGCACGCACATACAAAAAAAGATATATCTCCTCTCTCTGTCTCTGTCTCTCTCCCTCTCGCTGTATGGATATACCTATATCTCCTCACACACCGTTCCATCATTTCAGTAGACGCGCGAGTGAGTGTGAGGCTACTGACATGTGTATATCGCAGGGTATTCACATCTGGAGATTGACTGTGATCAATAGGCGCTCTACCAAATTGCCGCAATTGGGCAGCAAGTTGGAGAAATAGGGGCAACTGTTACATTTCACTCAGTTGTCAGAAAGTCTTTAAACTTTGTTGCTTCTAGAAATGATTTTTTAAATTGAAAACGACCAAAGTTTGCAGTTTGACCGTGCAGCAGTAAAACAATAAATCAAGTATGTATTTTTTTCTTACAAAAGAAGCCTTTTAATACCCGGACTTCGTTACTTTTATAAGTCCTGTACCTTCGGTTTTTT